ACCAGCTTACTCTCATGATATCTACTTGGAGTTGGTCTATAATAGACCACTTAGATACTTTTGGATTTGCATTTTTCCTAAAGGTAGAACATATTCTAAAATTTGTATCTGCTAGACTAGAAAAATAATGTTAAAAAAAAAAAAAAAAAAAAAAAAAAAAAAAAAGTGTTTCCCCACTGGGATGAACTTAATTTTTTTAAAGGTTTATTATTGCTTATCAATCGTTTATTTCTCCTGTTTGGGTGTTTGCCTGCATGTATTCATATGCACCACCTGTATACCAGGCCCACAGAGGTCAGATGAGGACATCAGATACCCTGAACAAGAGTTATAGATGACTGTGAGCCTCCACTAGGGTTCTGGAAATGGAACCATACCTGGTCTTCTGCAAGAGTACCAAGTGCTCTCAACTGCTGAGCTATTTCTCCTGCCCCGGGATGAACTACTCTGAGTAACTTCCAGAGCTCTAATCTTAGCTTGATCAACAAAGACAACAACTTCCCTCACTTACTGAGCGAAGGCAGAGTAAGAGAGTGAGGACTGGGATGGGCTGTGACAGAGGACTTGTCTACCATGCCTCAGGCCAGGGTTCCAGGGGAGGGACACGTATGAGGTGACACACAGTGTCTGACAAAGCATGGCTCACTAACTGCTGACCATGATTACTGCTTCTTGGCTGGCTATCACATTTTATGATGCCATTACCGTCGCTTCCCTTACATTAGGCTGAGTCCATGCGGGCCTCCAGACAGCCAGGCCAACAGGAAGGAGGAAGTATTAATTGTCAGTAGCAAGTTCTCCCTCATCTGAGCAGTGATTCTCAGGTGGAGACAGTGCCTGGGACTCACCTGGGCCATCTCCTCGTGCCGCATGCCCAGAACGTCCTTCATCAGGTGGTAAGCCTCACAGATGAGCTGCATGTCACCATACTCGATCCCATTGTGCACCATCTTCACAAAGTGCCCGGCCCCCTCGTCCCCCACCTGTCAGGGCATAAGAACGAGAGGCCTTCAGAGCAATAGACTACACAAGAGAAGTCTCAGAAAGGCCCACCTCATACAAAACTACCGTGAGAAAACAGGATTTTCTAATAGGAACCTCCCAACACGCCCAAGCTCTTTTGCCTGTGCTTCCCACTATTTCTCACTCTAAAAGAAGCCCCTACTCCAGCCACAGGTTAAAGTCTCCAGGTCTTCAAGTTAACACATTTCTAGCAATTGCTGGTCAGAATAAATTACTTCTATTTTTCCTAGATACAAAAGTAATGCAGTCATTCTAATAGCTACTGAGGGTAAAATGCCCTTCTATCAAGGTATCACCTTCACCTTTTAAGTCCAGAAAGGCATTCTCTCATGGTCCCATCACTGGCAAGGTATTTGCTAAGCTAGCAGGATGTATTCAGTTGATCAGTTTATCAATTTATCATGGGGAATTTAAGGAGGGTCTTTCAGTTGGGTTACTCTGAGCAAGACATTCTGCCCTCTAGAAAGGCTACCTGGGAAGCCAGGTTCTGAAACTGACTAATGGGCAGAGAACAAGAACAAGGTCCGCAGAGCCAAGCCCTTCCCGGCACTGGCTCTGCAGTCACGGGAGCTGTCTCCACGGTGGAGCAGCGGGGACAGTCCTTCCCGGCAGTTGCTGCTGCAGCGATGCTGTGATGTTCCTATCAGACGGAACTTCCTCCATCACCGGGCCGCCCTTCGATTCGGACACTAACTGTGCAGGATGAGGACATCTTACTTCACCCTTCCTGCTGCTCCAGCAGTGAATGGACCCAGGGTCTAGCTTACACTCTCTACCATTTATTCTTAGGGCCTGAATCCAACTTCAGCAGTCAACTCTGCAGCTAGAGTTGTCAAGACCCACAAGTGCAAGCTGGCTTCTCCTTTTGACTTTGTCCTAGAGGGGGTTAAAAGGAAGTTACCGCCACTGCACTCTAATGGTAGTGCTCTGCCATCAAGGAAGGAGTCCCATAGACTAAGATTAGAAAGACTGGACAGCTTTCACATCACAGCCTCTGACCACCTTAGCAGAGGATGACAGAACTTCACTGACCCCTGGGGAAAGGCAGCCAGCGAAGCTGGCAGGTCAGTGGGAGGGTTCCCCTTATGCCCACAAGCCTGGGTCCTTATGTTATCCCTACTCTTAATCATATATATTACTAAAATAACAAAGTGAGCATATAAAATAACAGGTATAAAAAAGGGAGCTAGGTGTGGTGGTGCACTGGTCTGTAATTCAGGAGACGGAGGGGGAGGATTGAGGGCCCAAGGTCTGCTTGAGCTACACAGTGAGGAGACACTAAGTGTTGGGGACGGTCAGATGGTCTAACAGGTAAAGCTATTTGCTGCCAAGCTTGAAGACTGAGTTTGATCCCAGCACACACATGGTGGGAGGAGAAGACCAACCCCGACAAATTGTCCTCTGACCTCCACGTGCAGCCTCGAACTCTCCCACACATATACCCCAGATAGATAACTACAACTCAGAGACAGACAGAGAGAGAAAATGGAAGGGGAAGAGGAAGGAAAGGGAAAAAAGAAAAGAAAGTAAAATTAAAGGAAAGGGAAGAGGAAGAAAGGCTGGTGAGAGCATAGAGACCATCTAGCCCACCTGGGGATTTCTCAGACAAGTCCTCCTGCAGTGATCTGTCCCAGGTCACACCAGCAGTTAACAAAGAAGCCTAGTGGCAACTCCTGCTCCCTAGGCTGATATGCTTTTCCCATCCACGGCACTGGCTGAAGCCACAAGATGGGGTATTTATTCTCACAGCAACACCAAACAGGAGGGAAAGTGCCTATGGCCAGATTCCTGAGTTTTGGTGAACATCCAAGTACAGAAAACCCAAAACCCAGGCTATGCACAGAGATTCTTAGATCCTTGTGGAGTGAGACATCTGCTGTGACAAGGCAGCAGACCCACTTTAATTTCAGCATTCTTTGACCACGAAGTAAATAGCTATAAGGACCCCTCGCTTCCCTGCTCCTAGTTCTGAAGTCCTCCTTTTGGTAGGATTGAGGAGCTGCTTCAACACATTAACCTCCAGGCCCTGAAGGACTGGTTAGGGGACAGTGACAGACAGGTATGTGCTTCGGGGACCAGCTGCGCAGTGACTTTGACTGAGAAGCTTATAGCACAGAGCTAACCACTGGGACAAGGTGGTCTTTCTTCAGCTGTGTGCTTTGTCAAAGGGGAGCCCAGAACTTGCCCAGTCACAGCAGGGTTCTCCAGTTCCTACTTTTGCAGCGATGGCTTGGAAGATCGTCTTGATGTGGGGCCTGTGGAAGGGGGAAGTATAGTTCAGTTAACAAGAGAAGGCCTGAGCCTTCAGGTCAATGCTCAAGAACGCTGCTCTAAGAGTAATGCTCAACTTCCCAGAGAAACTCTGGTCTGGACTGCGGACAAGTGTGCACCTCCACACCGTGTGTGTGTGGGCCTCAGAGTGGAGGCTGTAGAACACCTGAGTCAACACAAGGGAAAAGGCAAGGCAGAAGCACCATGGAAGAGTGGCAAGGGATGTAGCTCAGTGGTAAAGCACACATTTAACATGCACAAAGCCTTGGGTTTCATCCCAGCATCTCGCTACCCCGGTCCCCACAAAGCACCAGAAGAATCTTCCATCTCTTTATCAGAACAAGCCATGACTCCAACCCAAGCAAAACAAGAGCATCTTTAAAGACACCCTCCCCATCTGGGTGTCTGTTACCAGGTACCACATGATCTGCACATTTGGATCAGAGGAAAGCCAGGACGGTGCAGTGCAGTAGAGACACCCTTATTGTAGCAAAAACAACTCTTCACTCCATCCCACTCTCACTATTAATTCATAGTAACCTCTAAGACCTTCCCCTCACTATTCCACCCTCTACCAAAGAAAAGACCCCCAAACCTGACACCTGCAAAGTCAATGCTTAGGACTGGGCTAAGGCAGCTCTGACAGGACACAGGCCAGAGGAAAGCAAGCACTATGTGACATAAGAACAAAATGTCTGTATGACAGAACGCGCCCAATGCCTCCCAGATCTAACCCCTCCATGTCCACAGTGGAGACCAAGCACAGAACCATCTCCCCGTCCTGTTCACACCAGGCTGGTCCTGTGCTGCAATGCACGTTGTGCTGATGATACTCACCATGCCTCTTTGTTCCCTCCTGGCATGAGTGATGGTCCATACCGAGCCCCTTCCTCACCACCACTGACTCCACTCCCCACAAACAAGATCCCCTTGGCCTTGAGGTTCTGGCATCTTCTCTAAGAGAGAAAAACAATTTTAGGGTTTCTTCACAAAAATAAGTTCCTTTTGATGAAGGAGAGGAGGTGTAAGGCCAGTACAGAGAGCTCAGGTTTGCTAGTAAATGACCCAAGGGACTAGGAGCAGGCAGTCACTCAAGACAGTGTGTACATTCAGTGTAGATGAGCTAAACTTTAAAAACAGTAACAGACTCCTGTAAGTCAAACACTTGCGAGGCTACAAATACAGGATTGCAAGCTTGAGGCCCTGTAAAAAATTTAAAAGGAAACACTGATTTTTGAGATATCTACACAATCCCCAAGAGGGATACCTGAACACACATTCCCATCTTAATGGAAAAGACCTTACAGGGTAAAATGCAATGGAGAACAAGTTCAGTGGGTGACTTACACATTTCACACTTCAGACCATGCAACTTGCCTTGGCGTCTGGCACCATGAAGGTAGTGCTTCTCAACCATGCTGCACAGTGGCATGCCATGCATTATAGAAGGCAGAGATTGTACAAAAGCTCTCAACCTACTGTATCTAAGCCATCGTCTCTTGAGTTACACACACAAGCAATTAGGAGTGTGATGATGTATTGTGTGCCCTGATAAACCTGCCTGAGGATCAGAGGACAGAGCCAGCCACTAGATTAGACACAAAGGTCAGGCAGTGGTGGCACACACCTTTAATGCCAGCACTTGAGATCTCATGCCTTTGCTTCAGAAACCTTTAATTGCAGGAAGTAATATGGCAGGGCAGAGAAAGGTATATAAGGTGTGAGGAAACAGGAATTCTCTCTCTTTACACTGAGGATTTTGAAGAGGTAAGAACTAGCGCCTGCTCTGCTTCTCTGATCTTTCAGCTTTCACACTGATTATCTGGCTCTGGGTTTTTATTAAAAGACCATCCATCAAGTGTCTTAGCAGAAAAAGGCTGAGATCTAGTCCACCAGTACCAATCCCCAAAGGATCACAAGGCAAATGTGACGATTTTGTCACATTTACAATGTTAATATTTCTTTCTAGAATGTTCTCAAGACCTGACAGAGTTTGGACTGAAGAACACTTACTGTTGTATCCCGGTATTCAGAATTTCCTCCATCGATGATGATATCACCAGTGTCCAACAATGGTACCTGTAACCAAATATTAGCTTAGGGTGGACCAAAGACAGAAATGAAACATACCTTGACCACTAAAAACAAGAATTCATCCCACACAGACAGTGAGAAAGCATTCACTATGTAGACTCCAGTAATCCTCTCTGGCTGTAACTGCACCTTTAAGTAGGAGGCTAACTAACTAACCCAGTCAGACTCCTCCATAACATACTTCTCTCCCTCTGCTTTGCCCCTTCCCTCCTTGACAGGGTTTCACTGTGCAGCCCTGGGTAGCCTGGAATTTGCTATGGCCTCACTCAGAGACCCACCTGCCTCTGCCTCTGGAGAGCTGGGATAAAAGACATGCGCTATCATGTCTGGCCAGGTTTTATTCTTTATTGCTCAGTCTCCCCTTCCAAAGCTCCACTTGAGATCACTTTAGTACTTTCCTAGGTTGAAGAAAAATCAACCAGCTTTCCGCCCACTGTTTGGAGCTAATGGTGGGCAGTTTGATCATGTTACAATCATGTTACACAGGAAGCTCACTATGTCCTTTATCATGGCTTCCTTCCTTTTAAGCCACCTAAAACAGCAGCGAACTGGTTACAGTTTTTTCTCTCTTGAAAACAAACCTGATAACAATATTCTTCTAGATATTGCAACCCTTCCCTCTGTGACCACATTATTTCTAACATAACATTTCTAAAGCAATACCTCCCCGCCCCCCCAAGTGGCTATTGTGGTTACTTCTGAGTATTTAAATAATTTTTTTCTCCTGTTCTTCTTCATTCATAAGCATATTTTTTTCTCTAAAAGATATTCTTGTTAAAGCCAACAAATTGGTATAAGGCTAAATAAAACAACTATTTATGAGAATTGTTATTTTGTAGGAGTAGGGGGGGCACTCATGTCTAAATAAAACCCATTTTGGACACAATGGTTTACTAAAGAATAGTCAACATTGCAAGATACCAGAGCTGAGCTGGGCAGTGGTGTACGCCTTTAATCTCAGCACTTGGGAGGTAGAGGCAGGTGGATCTCAGTGAGTTCATGGCCAGCCTGGTCTACAAAGTGAGTTCAAGGACAGCCAAGACTGTTACACAGAGAAACCCTATCTTGAAAAACCAAAACAAAAAACAGAAAAAAAGATACCAGAACTGGGGATACATCTCAGTGTTAGAGTGTGCTCAGAAGGTGAAAGGCCTTGAGTTCTAATTCTCAGGATTAAAACAAAAACAGAAAACACAGACAGGTATGGTAGATGGTACCTATAATCCTAGCACTAAGTAGACTGAGGCAGGAGGATTGTCAAGATCAAGGCCAGATGGGCTGTTACTAAAGTACTAGGCCAGCTAGAAATAGAAATGCATGGTAATGCTCTGTCTCAAAAACAAAGAAAAACTAAAACAAACAAACAAACAAACAAACAAACAGAAAAACAGTTGGGATCTGGCTCAGGCAGGGTGCTTGTATTTATGGAGCATACACAAGGCTCTGCAGTCAGTCTCCAGCACTGGAGGCAGAGGAACACAACAGTAACGCAAGCACATATACCTGCACAACACCAGATGTCAAACCAGACAGAGACTAACAGATGACCACTGTTCAGATGCTGTTGCTCTTCACAAACTGAAATGTCCTCAGGGTCCCAGAATTATGACCACCGAAGAACATACTATTAAGGGGACAACAAGATGGCTCAGTGGGTAAAAGCACTTGTTGAATAAGCCTGATGACCCAAGCTTGATCCCAGCAACCAAAGCAAAATTAGAAGAGGAAGCCAGTGTATGTGTGTGTGTGTGTGGGGGGGGGGGGGGGCGGGGCACCTTTAATCCTAGCACTCAGGAGGCAGAGGCAGGCAGATCTCTGAATTCGAGGCTAGCCTGGACTACCAGGGCAACACAGAGAAACCCTATCTCGACATATCCCTCCTTCCCACCCCCCCAAAAAAAGTGGAAGAAGAAAACTGACTCCACAAAGTTGAACTCTGACCTCCACCTGCATGCTCCCCTACACACATTAATAATAATTATTAAATAAAAATAGAACCTTGGTCCAGTGAGAAGGCTCAGTGGGAAAAGGTACCTGCCATGCTATCAAGCCAGACACCTGAGTTCGTTCCAGGAACCACATGGAGGAAGTAGAGCCAACTCCCACAAACTGTCCTCTGACTTCTACATCCAATGTGTCATGCTTACACCCACACAAATACTACTTTTTTTTGGGGGGGGGAGGGGCTGGAGAGACAGCTTAGGAGCACTGACTGCTCTTGTAGAGGACCCAGGTTCAATTCCTAGCATCAACATGGTAAGTCACAACTGTCTATTAACTCCAATCCCAAGGAACCTGACACTCTCTTCTGGCCTCCTCAGGTACTTCTTGAGTGTAGTACAGTTACACATGCAGGCAAAGCATTCATACACACAAAGTAAAATGAAAATAAAATCTTTTTAGAAAAAACTATAAAAAAGAATTACCATTATCTAAGTGCCAATCAAGCCAACCAAGACTGAAATATTTAAGCAATCATTTCATCAGAACTGATCAGTTCACATCCAGCAACTGAAAATAAAAGCATCTCTGAAGTAAGACAGTCAGAGGGAGGAACAGACAAAGGCTCGGGGTGCTAGCAGTCTTGAGAACAGAGCTGGCCTTACCAGTTTCTCGATGAAATCATCGACAGCTCGCCCAGCCTTCACAAGAAGCATGACTCGGCGAGGCTTCTTCAGCTTGGAGACCATCTCCTGCAAGGACCTGGCACCAACTACTTTGGTTCCCTTTGCCTCGTTGGCCAAGAAGTCATCAACCTTGGAGACGGTCCTATTGAAAACACAGACCTGGGGGAGAAAAGGCTGGCTTAGAGGATTTGGGACACCTGTGACCTTCGGGTGGTGGGTCCAGAACAACAAAACGTCTATTTGGCCCAAGGTCTAAAGAGGGCTGGTCTGCCTTCTCTTTTCTTGTGTGCAGCTGATCCCTGCAAAGTTAGGTCAGAGCAGGACGAAACTGCAGAGAACCGAGGCAAAGGCCAGCCGCCACTTGTTGCTTATCAGGTTGAGCCTGTCACTACTGCCTGGATTTTTGTCCCTGGTAATCCTGGCATCTAAGCCATGTTACTATTTAGAAAGAACATTCAGAACCCACAGACAGGAGGATCCGAGCCCTGAAGCCAAGACTCCAGTGTGGCAGCACAGTGAGATGCCGTCTACAAGGAAAAAGAAATCCCGTTCTCACTTGCCAAGCTTCACTAGCCAATTGGGCTAGAGTGCTATATCTTCCGAGATCCGCCTCCCTTTTACACCAGTGGATCTCAGCCTTCCTAACCCTGCGACCCTTTAGCACAGTTCCTCACGCTGTGGTGACCCCAACCATGAAACTATTTTCGCTGTTTTCATAACTACTTCATAACTGCAATTTTGCTACTGTTATGAATCGTAACGTAATTATTTTTGGAGCCAGAGGGTGGCCAGCGGGGTTGCGACCCACAGGTTGAGAACCGCTGCTTTACAGTCCTCTCTATCCAAGGAAGCTCTGGTTCCTTCGACTACAGGGGCAGCACAACTAAGGCAGGACTTTTACAAACGCGAGGACGCCACAGCAGGGCTGACTGGGTGGGAAGCACCCCCCAGCCGCCTCGGGGTCTGCGAGAAACGGGCCAATGCTCACCGCGGGAAGGCAACGTGTCTCCCCCGCCACTTACCACAAATCCATGGTCATTCATGTTCAGAATTAAGTTCTGGCCCATGACAGCCAGTCCAATCAGTGCAATGTCAGCTCTGGCGGGCGGGAGAAAGCACAAGGCAAGGGTGTTAGCGCCACTTGGTCGCCTTGCATAGGGCGGGTAGCCCGCACCTCCCTGTCTGCGATCGCATGGCAGGCACCTGGGCCCGCCCGCACCCCGCACCCCGCGGAGGCTCCACGGACCACGGAGCTCCTCCTAATGGGCACCGGGGCCCGCGGAGCCTCGACGGCCCTGGCCCTCCCTGGCCATCACCCCTGCAGGCCTGGCCCGCAGAAGGGGCGTGGGCCGCCTCCACCCACTGCGGCCTGCCTTCCCCGCCAGCCCGTCGCAGCCGCGAGCTCCCGGGAAGGGGCGGCCGGGCTTGCGCTGCCCACGCGGGGGACCCTGCCGGGGAAGGGCGCGGGCTGCGCGAGGAGGGCCGGGCGACCCCCGGGGCTGAGGGGAGCGGGGAGACGGCGAGGCAGAGCCCCGCCATCAGCACGCTCGGCCCCGGAAGTCTCTCGGGCCCGGCTGCGCGTGCAGGTCACTCACTGGTCCATGGCGGCGGCGGCCGGCAGAGCAGGGGCGACAAGGAAGAAGCAGAACTGAGCGCTCCGGGGCCAGTGCGGTGATGTCCGGCTGGCTCCCGGCGCCTCAGGAGGCTTACCACGATACCGGCCAATCGGAAGGCAGGGGCGGGGCGATGCCCCACGCTATTGGTTCGCTCCGGCGCCTGTTATACCACCTGAGGGCAAACGGGCCCGCCTACCCGCGGGGCCAGATCTGTAGAGCGCCGAGCAGTCGATGGCACCCTGAGCGCCCGGGGAGAGTTTACAGGGCTTGCCTAAGTGGTCGAGCGGGCTGCACGCTGCTTCCCGCCTGCGCCGGGGCTCGGATCTGCAGAAAGAGAAGACCCTGGGCTTGGTGCAGCCCCAAAGATGTAATTCCGGTTGGACCACACTTTACAATTGTGTGCGCTTGGCCCATGCACTAATATGTCCCTCAACTCTGGGACAGGAATCAAGTCTGTTCTTCCAGTGGGAACCCAGTGTGGTCAGCGCGAAGCATTTTTGCAGGCCAAGAAACAGCGGTGCACACTGGGGCGAGGTAGTCCGCGGGTAAAGCGCCAAGAGGGTGGACAGAGAACCCACTCCAGGAAGTTGGCTTCTGAGCTCCACGGGCAGTGGTGGCTCGTGTGCCCACACGCACGGAAAGAAGAGACGAGTGGAGGAGAGGTTTTTTGTTTTTGTTTTAGTTTATTATTTTATTTTATGTGCGTGGGTTTTGCCAGCATATGTGTCCATGTACCTAACGCGTGCCTGGTGAATAGGGAGGTCAGAAGAGGGCGCGGGATTCCTCGCAACTTTAGTTACAGACAGTTGTTAGCCACAGTTGTTAGCCACCACGGGTGACTCTGACCTGGAGCCTCTGGAAGAGCAACCTGTGGTGGTTTTTTTGTTTGGATTTTTTGTTGTTGTTTGGTTTGTTTGATTTGGTTTTGGTTTTTTGACACAGGGTTTCTCGGTGTAGCCCTGGCTGTTCTGGAACTCGCTCTATAGACCAGGCTGGCTTCGAACTGTTATCCACCTGCCTCTGCTGGGATTAAAGGCGTGTGCCACAACTGCCTGGGCAGCCTGGGTTTTTTAGTAAACTGGGAGGTCATGACCTATTGTTCAGTTGGCAGAGTTATTCCCTACCAAGCACAAAGAGCCGGGGTCTATCCTCAGCACCAGGGATGGTGGATACTCATAATCCCAGCAGCTGGGCGTGAGTCTTCTCTGCTGTCTTTCCCTTGTATGTGTTTGTGTTTGTGCCTCCCTTCTCCATATAGGGGGATCACTGGGGTTCCAGTCCTGCTCATGCTCTGGCTTTACATGCGTCCTGGGGATCTGAACCCAGGCCTTTGTGCCTGCTTAACAAAGGCCACTCACGCTAACATCTCACCAGTCACAAGTCCTGGTTTAGGCCCAGCTGAGGATTGAACCCAGGGCTTAGTACATGCCAGGCAAGCACTCTTACCAACTGAGCCACACCTCCTGCCCTGGTGCTCTGCATCTCCTGCCCTTCCCTTCTCTGCGTGTCTTTCTGTTTCTCCCTGGCAGGTGCCTGTTGTCCTCATTCCTCTAGCCCCTGTAAAGACCAACACAGTCAAACTGGCCCCACCTCAGCTGGTCAGACCATTATTTCCAAGACAAGGGTGGGGACCAGGTGGGAGCTGTTTCCAGAAGCTTCTCTGTTCTTATAGCCCTCAACACATTGTCCAGCTCTGGAAGGCCCTGAGGGCCAAAAAAGGGGTCGAGTTTGTGCTTTAATGTTTTGTTGTTGTTTTGCTTGTTGAAGACAGTACATAGCCCTGGCTTCTTCCAGGCTTTTAAAGTTTTTGTGGTGTCGGAGCTTGAACTTTATTTTCATTTGTTTTGAGACAGGGTCTCACTTTGTAGCCTGGGGTGGCTTCAGACTTCCAGCAGTCCTCCTGCCTCAGC